AAACTACTGTAGTAGATTGAGGTTACATTGGGATAATGGCAAAGAAAATGGAAACTACACCCTAAACCCTAAACCCTATGGAAACGACTGTAGTAGATTGGGATTAATGGAAAGCCTAGGCATGCATGTCAGCCTGGAAGAGTCAGCATTCATCTTCGTGGCCGCCACCTCAGATCTATGGCTGGTAATCAAAATTATGGTCCCTTTTTGGGTCCCTATTATAATACGGCCCCTAATATTTAGGGTACCCAGAAAAGGGACCATAATTTTGACAACCATCCATATGGGGATATTTGGGGATCTTCTGGGATCTTGCCCTCTGGCTTATGAGACTTATGAGAGACCAGCAGGAGGATGTTCGTGTCTCACTTGGTGTGTGTCATGGTCTTTCATCCTGAGCGTGCGTGGGGACTCCGCATGCCGCCGCTCCATGCCCGTGCTGATCGTCTTCTGTAGCTCATCAGGGCTGGTCACCTGTTCTTTGGGTTTGGCGACACGTACGAATTCATGAATTCGGGGCGTGAGATGTATTGTGATGCAACATGTCTGCTTGCAAGTTCTTGTGGCATGTGTCTTCGTGCAGTGGCATCAGTCAACGTCAAAACCAGTTGCGAGCAGGAAGGCCGACTATACGTGTGCGGAGCGCCTCAATCTCGACAGCATTCTCCACCTCTGGGCACTCAACAGTTCGTGAGAAGCTTAGCATGCTGAGCAGTTACACGAGCGAAGAGTGCTGCAGGCACACGCATTATGCTAGCATATCCCTTCGCTTTGCAGTTGCACCTTCACGGTCCCACGGGGATCTTTCTTGATGTCGAGGATGGGAGGTGCTTTGCCCTGTCAGCTGCTGAGAAGGCATGCTTGGTACCTTTTCAAACGAAGCTTGAAGCTCTAAAGTTCAAGTCGCACTCTATCCAGCAAGCATCGGCGCCTTCGCCTTTGTGAAAAGGAGGTCTACCAAGTCGTCTCGGTAGAGCCTCTACATTAAAGATCGCCATCTTTTGCCCATGCTGCATGTTGGGAGTCCTATGTCAAAGGATTGAATCGGAACAGCTGAGGCACCAGCTCGAACATGGAACACAGCACTTTCGACTCACACTCGTGGGCATATCGCCCTCAGCAACGGAGGGGCCCTCAAGCAAGGGAGGTGCCCTGAAGCAAGGGAGTACTGCTTGCAGAAGTTCAAATTGCGGGTTTCACTATTCTCTAAAATGGGCAAAGTGGAAGAGTTCTGCGCTGTGTGACACGCGTTTGAGCCTTGCCATGAATAATCCGCTCTACAATTTTCTTGGCTCCGACTCATGTTGCGAAGCATGCTTCTAAAATCAAGAATGTCGATCCTTGCGCCGTGACTGCCAGAATCATGAACCATCTTAGTCCCGCAGGCAATTCTGGCCCGCATGCAATCATCACTGTTATGGCCAGCTTTTTATTGCTAGCTTTTCCAAGTTCAGCCACTTAGATGCCAGAGCTGATTCTCATCGGTTGCTCCAGATAAACACCATGGTAGGATACAGGGTTCAGGGTGTAGGGTAGCCAAAAACTGGCATGCGTACTATGCACACTCAAGCTTTATTCACGACTCAAGCTCTGCAGGCCCCAGTGGAAACGGAAAAGAAGTGCAAGGGCAGCATCACTAAGGACAGGGCTTAGGACCGTGAAAAGCTCCTGCTGGCTACGGCGTTGGGATCTTCAGGGCTGACATTCCAAACAGCCTTGAAGGTCCAAAGTTTAGCACTTAGGGTCCCAATATCTATTATGCTCCCTTATATAATGCCGTGTATAACTCCCTTTAAGGAGTTTAGACTATAGCTCAGATAGTATGAGCAGGAGTTTCCCTTTCCTCCGCGGCTCGTGGAACCAGGCCAGGCATCGCCTTCGCTAGCATGATAGGGTTTAGGGTTGAGGGTTTCCCTATGCAAGCCTCAAGAGTCCAAGAGTGATGTCTCATGTCCAGTTACGACACAGTGGCGTATGGTGGACTAGAATAACAGCAGTAATAGAAATTGTAACAACCGTAATAATACTGATCATAGAAATATTCATAATACTAGAGAATAAGAAAAGCCATGACGGTAATAATCAGAAAAGAAGAAGAATTATATTAATTAGACGGCGCAGCTTGCAGACACGGGCCCCTCAGCTGCAGACCTCGTTGCCGTACCTCCATGAGCATAGGAAGAGGTTACGTAGAATCTTGGGGGTTTCCCAAAGCCCAAAGGGGTTTTATAGGCTTTGGGTTGGGTCTCTATAAAAGAGATTGTTGTATTTTGGGGCTATATTGGGGTCCCCCGATTTGGGGAAACTACCTCTTATTCCATTGAAAGCTAGGCGAAAACTGAGAAAGCAGGGAGGATACATGATCCAAGGTTCAAGCTGTGAGGCTGTGAACAGATTGGGGCACATCGTGTGGGTCTTTCCAGCGCCCGTCTGGCCGTAGGCGAACCTCAGAAAACAGAACTCGTGCAATTAGTGATCTAGGTCGCAAGGGGTCGTCGAATATCTGGATTGTATGATGGATAAATGAGCTATAGTCTAGACTCCTAGTATCCCCTCAAATGATAACCCTATACTACTTGCCCATATAATCCCCCATATATCTCCCCTTTAAGGGGTTTCGCCTGTAGCTCAAATGGACCTAGTGCATAAGATGACCGCGGAGCTGAGCTCGAGGCACGGTGACGTTGAAACCGTCAACTGCTGAGCCAATCAAACCACGACAATCAGCAAACACGTCCTCTTGCGAGTTGTGCCTGCCACAGGGGTTATATAGGGGTTATATGGGGTGATATAGGGTTATATAGGGTTATATGGGGTTATGTAGGGGTATATAGGGTTATATGGGGGTTATATGGCAAGGCACACTCGGCCATGTACATGCTGCTATTTGAGCTTCTGCCCTTGAAGCGTCCTGATCCTAGGGTCTACCTCTTGGTGCGTCGGTGCGCCTCTAAGTTGGCAATCAGGATGAAGTTAATTAAGCAGCAGCTACAGAAACTTCACGATTCTGGCTCGGAAACTTTCCCCTTCTGCAGTGTTTTCATAGAAAATCTTGCCAGCTTTGCTCGTCAAACACGGCGTCAAAGTTGTAGTCCTGCCATCAATGGAATATGATAGCAACTCATCGAGATGGATCCTTCCAGTTGCATGGTGGCCTTCCCCTACTTCAGATCCCGCAATGCAGCCCTCTGATCCCTTGCGCCTTGTGGAGAGGCCAACAAATCAGAATCTAGTCTGATGGCTATAGCGGGAGTTCGTACGTTTTTGGGGCTCCTATAAGAAGGATTCTAGTAGTTTTGGGGTCTAGATCAGGGTCCGTTTGTTTGGTACATTCCGAAAATACGGGGACCCCAGTGTAACCCTAAATACTATAATCCTCATTAGTTATGGTCCTGATTAATTATGGGGACCCCTGAAATGATAGCCCCAAATTTCGGAAACCCCCATTTTGGGAAACTACCATAGTGTGAAAAAACCTACAGGCGAAACATCAACCCACTTACCTTTGCTCTCAGACATACAGTGGATACTAAGAATCCTGCATGACCCTAAGTACCTTACACCTACAGAATTACAGTATTATGGTTAACTAGGGTCATGCAGGATTTTTAATGTCAACAATACCAACCTTGGCGGCCGATTTCTTGTCTTTCGCAGCACACTCCAGCGAGAAGGCGTCACGTCTGTAAACGGAGATCTGCAACAGGACAGAAATTGTTAAGGTTGAAGTCCAATACCAGGACCCTCCTAGAACCATTAATCAGGGAATTGTGGCTCCTAGTAGTGGGCATCTAAGCCCAGCTGGAAGCTAGGTGGAGGATCTAGGCAGTTTAGCGAGTGTAGTGCCATCTGCGGACACCAGAGACGACTGGCCCTTGGTTAGCTAGGAATGAGGGAATGGATCCTTATAGTAATCCCTATATAACCCATTATAGTAATTTCCATTTTCTTTTCCATTTCTTCTCAACCCTAAACCCTCAACCCTATACAACCCCGTTATGGTAGTTTCCATTTTTTTGCATTCCTTCTCAACCCTAAACCCTCAACCCTCAACCCTATACAACCCCGTTATGGTAGTTTCCATGTTCTTTTCCATTCCTTCGTTCCCAGCTAACCAAAGGCCAGATGACGGGTTCCAGCTTGCTGCAAGTTTGGTTTGCCAAGGAGACTTGTCCCTTTAAAGCAGTGTAGGGGTTTTTATAGGGAGATATAAGGGGAGATATAGGGTTTTGGATCAAGGGTGTTGCGCTGCCTCCTGATCAGCTTCCCGCGCAACTTTTGGACCTGAGATGCGGGCTTAGGAGATAGGGCCCATATAGGGTTATATAAGGCTATATAGGGTTAAGGGTCTAGGGTTTAGGTAGAAGAAATCCAGGTTGAGGTTCACTCTTGTGTGTCCTCAGTTCTTCGGGGGACACGTCCGGCCACGAATTCAGACCGATGGTTGCGGGCTCTCAAGGCATCAAGTTCAGATTTCGCACGTGCGCACCCACGCTCACACCCCTAAACAACTTACCAAAGACTGCTTGGCTACGACAGTAAGTAGGACAAAAGAACGTAGTTACACTCACGTTTAGAAACGAAACACAGCAAAAGACTGTTTGATGGAATTTGGTGAGAAGTCCCATTTCCAAACTGCTACACGCCCGCCACAAGCCCAAACAATCAATTCCCACTGGACACATCCCAAACAAGATCCCTCCAATCAGGCCAACCCAAACTGCCCCACGCACCAAATGCCAACTTCAACTGCTCAACCGCATCTACCTACTCAATACCGCTAGCTACCCTATCGACTTGAAACAGCATTTGCGCACCATGAGCCGTGCTAGGGTGACAGGGTGTGAATTTGAGCCTCCCAAGTTTGTGTGCAAGAGAAGTCCCCAATTCTAGATCCGTCTCTTTCTGCTCTACATGCGTGCATGCGTGCCTTCCTCGAAAAAAGGAAAACTAGTACCGTTCTAGTCCTTGTGCTTGCTGTTTGCAGCTTCTGAGCCAGACGCGTATTCTTGCGAAGACACGAATGGCACCTTTCATGTCCTTCAGGCCGAGCTAAGCTACAGTCGCAGCTCCTAGTATCCCCTTTAACAACCCCTATAACAGTCCCTTGTATAACCCCCTTTCAGGACTTTAGACTTTAGCTCAAGGGAGTGGCTACTGGATTGGGACGTGGACTTAGTGGACCTTGGCCAACTTAGCTCAACATACCCGATTTGATGGACAGTCAGATGGAAAATGAAATGGACATGAAATAGAAACTACCATGTGGGGTTTAAATGGAAAAATACTATGTGGGGTTTATATGCGTTTATATAGGGATTGTATAGGGGCTATTGTTATATAGGGGTGAGCTACGCGTTGCATTTTCTTCCGGCCTGCATCTGATTGTGATACCGCTTCCGCAGAGCTTGCTCCTGCAAATTGAAACTGCGTGGTAGCACATAAAGGCTTAAAAGTCAGGATGTAGGGGGATTGAGGGGGTGCAAATTGAAACTGCATGTTCGCACATAAAGGCTTCTCAAAAAGCCTGAAAGGCTTGGCAAAAGCCCTTGCAAGTTCCTTCTGGAAAGCTTCATGAATCTCTTCGGTCCGCTTTTTCCAGGGTTCCAGCCTTGGAATAACCGTGTCAAAGGTTGAAATATCGGGAAATTTTCAGGGGTATATAGGGTAATATAGGGGGTATTATAGGGGATTATAAGGTTTAGGGCCTATAGGGGGTCAATGAGGGTTATATAGGGTGGGGAATTGAAGAGCACGTGGGCAAGCACATGGAAACTCAAATGGAAACTGGGAGTTTATGGAGATATAAGATATATAGGGTTTAGGGTTGAGGCTTATCTTGCGGTTGTTAGTCGGGAAAGCAGGCATGGAAATGAACATGGAAGATCATATGTCATTGGAGAATTCATCCAGACTGCAGTATATACCTGCTATTCATTCCTCCCTTGCCCACTAAGGAGCAGTAAGATATCCCTAAACCCGAACCATAGCCACAGTTTCCATTCCATTTTTCAGCCGATTTTCCATTCCCTACTAGCAATCACCTAAACCCTAACTAGTCTGTCGTTTGCTGCCGGGAGGCATCTTCTCTGCTTGCTCCGCTCTCTCGCGCACACCGCTGAGTTCGGTAACCTCCAAAGTCTGCACATGTTGGTAGTTTCCATAAATAGAGGGACTCCAATTTAGACCCCAATACATTATGGTCCTTAATGTGGGACCCCCCAACATGTACCCGTAATCTTGGGAAATCCTCATGTTGGCTGTAAGCAAATACGGCAAAGTGCAGACCTGGCCGGTCAGCTGCGCGGTGTCTTCTTCGAGCTTTTGGATGGTCAGCTCCTGCCCAGATTTAGTTGGGGCTTGAAACGACAACGGCTGCCATGCGCGTGGTGCAGGATGTGCCATGCTGGAGCCCCAACTGCTTCCCCTGCACGTTTGCGCAGTCCTTCTCCTTCAGCTGGCCTTCCAACTCTACCTGGCTACACTTCTTTTCAGGAAACACCACGTGCCGCGTTCAGGGTTCAGTGCCATTGAAGCTGATAGCCCGTGCAAGCAATGAAGCTCTGCCTCCCGCTCCTGGAGCTGGATCTGCGCAGCTCCAAGCCTCGTTTGTCGCGAGCACCCGTCATGCTCCCAGCAGTGCCTACTTACTGGCGGTCTCATGTGAAGAGAACAAGTCAGCCATACTTTGCTCACGTCCTGAGTGCGAGGACTCCTGGCTGGTCTTGCTCTGCTGTTCACGGAGCTCCTGCGTTGAAAGCATGCCCGTAAGTCGCTTCTCAAAGCATACACACAGCCTTGCTGCTAAGCAATGTTCAGAGTGGTAACATGGTTTCGCGGATGGACTCCTTGTGCTGCGCTCGTAGCTCGGTGAGATTTTTCCTGAGTTGCGCCCACAGAATATCACAGAAAGCTAGCGAACCAAGCCCTTTCTCTAGCTGTGGTCTGCTTCAAGCACTTTTCATTGATAGTTGATGCCAAGCATCCACATCTCCTCCTTCTCACCGGCCTCAGACCAGGCATCTACCCTTGAAGGAGTCATAGAACTGTGTTGAAACACCCTGAACCTGCAGAGTGCTCCAAATCCCAGATCCAGCTGAACTTGAGATCCAGCCTGTCGCTCGAGCTCACCGTGTAAGCGCTGGATTTCTGTCTTCCGGCTTTGCACATCGGCCTGGCATCTTGGTGCTTGGGGTTGTCATGCCCGGAGCAGCATGCCAAGCCTCCTTCTGCGACAGCTCCACGACTTTTTCCTGACATTCAGCAAGCAGTTACAGATTTTGGATTAGCTCGCATCGCCGGGTCTGGCTTGTAATTGTCACGCTTCTCAATTGCATTGAAGAACAAATTTGAGCCGTCCTCCAGATCTTTGCTGGAGCGGTCCACTTGTGACTTGGCCGCTTGCAGGTCAGTCGTAAGGCCTTGGATACATGCCATTGTCATATCGAAGTGATGAACTGCAGTCATACCAAGAATCCAGTCCCTGTCACTCTTTTCACATGGCACGTTGCTGGATCCAAGCTCCGCGCGCTCAAGCTCAGCATCTTTGGACTGCAATGCCTCCAGGGCCTTCCGCAATCAAATCATGCTTACGTCTTCGGGAAGGCTAAGGAGCTACAGGTCATGGTGGTGGTGCTCGCAATGGGACTGATACGAATGATACTGACAATCCTGAATGACCTCAGTATACAGCTCTTAGTATACTATGACCCCATACTTTCTAGGGTACAGGAGCTTGGGTTCATCAAGAACTTTAGGATCAACCGCAATATTACTTTGGGTACTGCCCCCACCCTGTAACAGTCTATATTAGGGTCGTGCTAAGGACTATAGGTCATTATATAACTAATGTTATCCAACTGCAACAGAGTGGGGGCAGTACCCAAGTATTACTACGGTTGATACTAAAAATCCTGCATGACCTTAGCAGACTATAGCACCATAATTCCCAAGGTTTAAGGTACCCAAGGCCCTAAACCCCTAACCCCTAAACCCTAAAGGTCATGCAGGACTTGTCGTATCCGCCGTAGTGGCATCAGTGCAGCTAGCCTCCTGTTCGGCTTGCACTTTAGCCTGAAGCTCGGCATCCTCACAGGGTGTGTGTACCCATTGGGAGTATATGGGGATAATGGAAAAGAAAGTGGAAGCTATAGGAATTCTAGGGGTTATATGAGGGTTATCTTGGGGCCAAATAGGGATAATGGAAAAGAACATGGAAACTACTATAATGTGTTGGGGGTTACATAGGGTTTAGGGTATCAGGCAGGCCCATAGTAATCTCGCTTAGGCTCCCCCTTGCTTGGCTCACTGGTTCTTAGCAGGGAATACGGGAATGTATTGTATAGGGATTCTTCTGGCATTATATTCCCTCCTTCCCTACTAAGAACCAGTAAGTCAGGGTTAAGGATAACTAGGGCTGATTTAGGGACACCATTTGGACGAACACCTGGAGACATAGACCCTATTACATTGTAGTCGTTTCCGTTTTCTTTTCCATTCACCCTATAGACCCCCCATACATATACCCTATTATATTGCAGTAGTTTTCATTTTTTTTCCATTCTGATATTCAGGCACCAAACGCCCCGGCAGGCACGACGTCGTCAACCAAGGAGAGGTTGTGGTTTAGGGTTTAGGATCCGGGATGGTTTAGGCTTAGGGTTTAGGGCTAGTGGACTTTTCTGAGGGGATATGCCAATACTTATGTAAACGTTAGCTGTCTGCATTCTAGTATCTCACTTCCCATATCTTTTGGACCGCCCGCCTTCTGGCTGAGGGCCTCCTCCTTGGCGAAGAGTGCCGCCTTGCACGCGTAAACCCTGGACCCTAAATAGCAGCTTTCATTTCCTTTGCCGTTATCCCTGTATAACCCCAACATTGTGAATCCCAAGCCCAATAATCCCTAATATATGTATATATCCAATAACCCCGTTATACTTACATAACAATTATATGTCCCTATGTAATCCCTTATGCAGACCCCAGCCCTCTCCGGACATAGGCCCGCCGTAAATGTTCGTAGTGCCGCATAACATAGTACGCTGCCGTAGATTATGAAATGTCTTAATATGTTATAGTATATTGATCGGCCCATATCTGTAGCATGTTCTAGTACAATACAGTCTATTGGGCATCCTTTCTATAAAGGGGGCCCTTAATCCACCAAGATCCAGACGTCCTTCTGGCTGAGCTCATCTGATTTCTGTGTAAGCTCAGCAGCTTGTTCCGCAGCCTGGCAGAACTGTGTACCAAACATTCGAGTGGGAATAGAATACAGGCACATATAGGGTACTTCATATAAGCATATATACATGCATGTAATGATTGAATAAAAGGACGAACGTAGAATCAAACGGTCAAGAACATGGAACATGAAATGGAAACTGGGATTATGTGGGGTTCCATCAGGATTAGGGTGTCCTTGAATTACAGTGCCGGCGCCCCATGAACTGCGCGTAGGGACCCCTTTTTGGGAGCTCCCGGAACAGCGGTTGCAAGAGAGAGAGAGAGAGAGAGAGATATATATATATATACATAGATAGATAGTGGGCTACATTCGGACCCAAGGAATTCCCGATGATAGTGGCTTCCATTTTCTTTTCCATTCACCCCGTATATATTCCTGCAGAAACTCCATATTTGAATTATATTGTAGTTTCCATTCCCCGAAGCCCTAAACACCAAACCCCACAGCCTAAACCAATAATCTGAATAGAAGTTGGCCAGGTTGGTAGCCGCCCCTATACTTTCGTGCACGACGCTATTATAGTAGTCTCCATTGTCGTTTCCATTCACCCTAGACAGCCCCTATGTGTACACCCTATCATCTTGGATTAGTTTCCATTTTCTTTTCCATTCACCCTATAGAACACCTAAATATATACATATATATACACCCTATTATATTGTAGTAGTTTCCATTTTCTTTTCCTAAGCCTTAAACCCTTAACCCTAAGTAAACGTTACGCGCTGAACCGTATTACATCATGTTGTAGTAGTTTCCATTTTCTTCTCTCTTATTTAAGGCTCCTGGCTTGAAGGCCTCTGTATAGAAGTATCCCTGCCTGGCGCGTGACCGCGGAAGACGGGCGTGACACGTCCTTGGGCCCCATAAAGCCCCCAAAAACTAGAATCCGGAGCACCATTAATCAACATTCCTGTCCCCAAAATTGCCGTTATGGAATATGACCTCAACTAGTTTCCTCTAATTTTTTCCCCTGATAGACCTAGAGGAATCCTAAGTAAATTCCCCAGACAACTTTAAGATCAATCCCCCCCATGCAAGTGGGCTGACAAGGAAAAGGCTATAACCCCAATATAATCCCTACATACCCCCAGCCACCCCTAGATAACTATATAGTCTTTTACGCCGGGCCAGGACCGAGCAGACTGTGCAGCTGGCTCTCAGTGGCTATCCGAGGCGTTTGAAAGTTCCAACCCTATATAACCCCGATCTATATATATATGTACTATTAAAGCTATCTGGAGCAACTAAATCCTCGGCCCATGTCTCCTTGACCACGTTTCGGTCCAAAGCTTCGTTGCGCTCGGCTGTCAAGCGCTTCACCACAGCCTCCCAAGTTTGGCCAAGCTTACAGCATCTTTCAGCTAGCAGATTATGGGGATTATATAGGAGTTAAATAGGGATTATATAATTATATAGGGGTTATATAGGGAGTAAATAGTTATATGGGGATTATAGGGTATATATTGGGGTTATACAGGGTTAATGGAAAAGAAAATGGAAACTACTCCAATATAATAGGGCGTATATGCATTTTTATATAGGGCTTCTATAGGGTTAATGGGAAATGGAAACTACTATTGTGACTATTATCGCGCTATTATGGTAGTTTCCATTTTCCTTTCCCTCTATATTGGAGCAGTTGACTTTTCCTTTTCCATTAACCCTATATAACTCCAAAATAGACCCTATAATACTGTAGTAGGTTCCATGCCCTTAACCCTAAGCCCTGAAACCTAAACCCTAAACCCTGAAACCTAAACCCCAACCCCTGAAACCTAAACCTTGAAACCTAAACCCTAAAACCCAAACCCTAAAATCCCAAACCCTGAAACCTAAACCCTGAAACCTAAACCCTAAACCCTGAAACCTAAACCCTGAAACCTAAACCCTAAACCCTGAAATCTAAACCGTGAAACCTAACCCCTAAACCCTGAAACC